TCAATATCTGTACTTAGAGATTTGACTGAATTTGAAAAATGTATCATATAAAATTCTATAATCTGCTTCTGAAATATGATTTGGAAAATGAACAAGTCAGAGTGTGTATATTAACTAAATGCAGAATTGAAATAAAACAATAAATATGCAACAGTAGGAATATCAATGGAAGGAAAATATCAAATTTAGAGTCAATATTGTACTTAGTGAATAATGGTATAAGATGCTCTATTGATGTTATATTACCCCAACATTGATTACCAAAATAGATAATTCATTCTCTAAATATGGTTGGATCATTTTTTTCATATTTATTGGCAATGTTGTAAAGCCTAATAATTCTGTAAATTGATTTATAATAGAATGAAACAAATTTTAAATATGGATTTTTCTTTTCAGACTGCCTTTTTTTTTTTTAGTAAATATTACTAAACCTTATTCCCAAAAAGTATACTAAGCTAATTTTGTTCATGGAAATAACTAGGATTCTCTATTTCACTGGAAATCACAATTACAATTCCTTCTATAGAAAAATGGTAAACTAAGTAATGGGAGTATATCACAATGTCAAAATTAACTTCATATTTGAAAAATAAATCTGATACAGTATTTAACTCAATGTGGAAGCCATTTTTGGTGGGTTCATACTATATCTAAAATGTGGTGGGTTCATACAACATCTAAAATTTGGATTTTCTCTAAAATAATATTGTATTAAATTTTTAATGATTTGTTAAATACGCTAAATTCCCTAGAACAGGCAGAAATTACTGCAATTTCTTTATCTTGGTTTTTTAACTTATACTCAAATACTGTTATAGTTGTTAATTACTGTATAATAATTTATTTTTAATACTGACTTTAGTATTGACATAAGGCCAATACAGTACTAAATACTTACTACTCACTTTAATAAGTTAATATAAAATATTCTAATATGCAGATTTATATTAATGTTATTTTGAAACTTTTATTTATTTTATTTATTTTATATTTCGAATTTAGATACTGCCCATTTCATGAAGAAGTGACTCTGGGTGGTTCACAATACAAGAACAAATAAATATTAATTAAAATACAATAAAACAGTATAAAAATACAGTAAAAATGCAATAAAACCAAACATATACACAAATAATACTGTATCTTCCAAGATGCTGGTGATCGATAAGCTGTTAACATATAGGAGCATCTTCAAGGTGCTAGCCACCCCCAGGTTTGGTTGCCCCTTTTTTCACTCCATGCCAGTTGGCAGAACAAGGTCTTGACTGCCTTCCGGAAGGACAAGAGAGTTGGGGCCTGCCTCACCTCTGGGGGAAAGGGTATTCCATAGGGTGGGGACCACAGCAGAGAAGGCCTCTTTCTGGACCCCGACAGTTGACATTCTTTCATCGATGGGGTCCGCAGCATACCCTCCCTGCTTGACCAGGTGGGACAGGTCGATATAATGGGGGTGAGACAGTCCCTCAGGTAACCCGGTCCCATGCCATGTAGGGCTTTAAAGGTGATAACCAACACCTCAAATTGAACCCGGAAGCAAACTGGGATCCAATGCAGCTCACGCAGCAAAAGTGTAACATGTGCCATCTTTGGGGCACCTAAAATTGCCCGCGCAGCTGCATTTTGAACCAACTGAAGTTTCCGGATACTTTTCAAGGGTAGCCCCACGTAAAGTGCATTGCAACAGTCTATACAGGAGATGACTAGGGCATGAGTGACTGACTGGAGGGACTCTCGATCCAGAAAAGGGTGTAACTGGTGCATAACATGTAGTTAAGCAAAGGCCCTCCTGGCCACGACTGCCGCCTGCTTTTTGAGCAGGAGTCATGAGTCCAGGAGGACCCCAGATTACGCACCAGGTCTGTCTGGGGTAGTGCAACTCCATCCAGAACTGACAATGGTAAACTTCCAGATACAGAGGAGCCTCCAACCCACAGCCACTCCATCTTACCAGGGTTCAGCTGAAGCCTGTTGTTCCCCATCCAGACCCCCCACAGCTTCCAGGCACCGCGAAAGAGTAATCACAGCGTCACTCAGATCACCTGGGATGGAGATGTAGAAGTGGGTATCATCTGCATATTGATGATACCTCAACCTATGGTGGCAGATGATCTCACCCAGTGGTTTCATGTAGATGTTAAAAAGGAGCAGGGAAAGTACCGAACCCTGTGGCACCCCACAAAGGAGGGACTGTGGGCTGGACCTCTTGCTCCCTATCAACACCAACTGGGACCAGCCTTGGAGGAAGGACGTGAACCAGCACAAATCTGTGCCACCCACCCCCAACTCCCCAAGCCGACCCAAAAGGATACCATGGTTGATGGTACTGAAAGCTGCTGAGAGGTCAAGAGCAACAAGGATGGATGCACTATCCCCATCCCGCTCCTGCCAGATATAATCCAAAAGTGCGACCAATTGTGTTTCAGTCCCAAATCCAGGCCTGAAACCCGACTGAAAAGGGTCCAAATAATCTGCTTCATCCAGGATCCTCTGGAGCTACAACGCCACCACCTTCTCAACCACTTCCCTAAAAAGGGAAGGTGGGAGACTGGATGAAAATTGTCCAGTACGGTGGGATCCAGTGATGGTTTCTTGAGGAAGGGGTGTACCAGTGTGTCTTTAAAGGCTGCTGGAAACACTTCCTCTCTCAAGGATGAATTCACCATTGTCTGGACCCACCCACATGTCACCTCCCGAGCTGCCTTAACCAGCCAGGAGGGGCATAGATCTAATTGACAGGTGGTGGCATTTACAGCCCAGAGGACCCTGTCCACTTCCTCAGGTCTAACAGGATCAAACTGTTCCCAGATAACAGGGTAAGTACATACCCCAGGCATCTCCACAGGCCATGCCACACACTTGGTATCCAACTGGGAATGTATCCAAGCTATTTTATCCTCCAGATGCCCAGAAAACTAGCTATTTTAATATGTGTATATTTCCATTTTATCTTTTTGGTTTTTTGGTTTTTTATTTCATTGTAAAATTAATAAATTAATAAATACATTGTAAAAGAAAGCAGTTTTTAAGGAGAATTATAATGTCAAAATCAATAGAAGTCATAATTCCTCTCTGTTCTGCATTGGTCAAACCACATCTAGAATATTGTGTCCAGTTCTGGACACATTTTAGGAAGGATACTGACAAAGTGCAATGTGTTCAGAGGAAGACAACTAAGAAAAAAGGCCTGGAAGGAAAAATATATGGGGAATAGCTGGAGATGTTGAATGTCAAGTCAATTTATTGAAATTGGTATACAAGCCTAAATAAATAAATATGCCCATCTATCTTTTTTCTTTAGGCAGGAGAAGTGGAGATTGAGGAAAAACACAATAGCTATTTTTAAATATCTGAAGGACTGTCATCTAAAAGATGGAGCAGAATTGTTCAGTTGTTTGAGCAAAAATGAGAAGAAGCAATGGGTTTAAACTACAAAGAAGTAGATTTAAGTTGAGAAGCCAGTTTGGTGTAGTGTTAAAGGTACTATGCTAGAAACAGGGAAACTGTGAGTTCTAGTCCTGCTTTAGACACAAAGCCAGTTGGCTGATTTTTAGCCCTAAGAAGGCGGCAATGGCAAACCACTTCTGAAAAACGTTGCCAAGAGTCCATGCAGTTGCCAGGAGTCCAAACTGACTCAAAGACACACACACACACACAAACAATCATCAGGAAAAATGTCAAAACAATAAGAAATATTCAACAATATTATAGGAAGGTGATGGACTTTGGTGGAGATACTTAACGGTGTAACCCTTCACTTAAGGGTGACGTTCTGGTAGTGGATTCTTCAACTGTGTAGTGACTGCACTGTTTGGACTGGAAGATGCCCAACATCCCTTTCAATCCTTATTTTCTGTGTTAATGCAAAACGTATGGGGTCCTATCATGCATATGCTAGACCTAGGATTATCTGTTTTTCAAAAGTTTGGGAAGAATGCCCTCTGCATTTTTAAGGGTGCTAAGCCAATTTTAGTGTGTACACTATAGTTCTCATGTCCTTTCTGCTCCCAAATGGCTGGAAATCATGCTGTTGGCTTTCAGCAATCATTAATACCAACATTTAGAAAGAAAGTAGTTGTGGGGTCACTTGAAAATTTGGAGATTTGGGTCAGAGGTTTCCTAGTACTAGTCTATACCTTCAAAGACTTCATGAGTAATAAAATTTACTCTCTTGGATCCAGCTATATAAAATGGATTTATATTGCATAGTCTTGGGAAAAGGAACTAAACACAAAGAATGTTTGAGGGTCAAGTGATTTCCTACAAGGGCCACTGGTTTTCCCTCTTTTCTATAATCAGCATTTTTCAGATCATGTCAACATGTGCCAGTCTCATTGTATTAAATGTCAGCTTAAGCCACTGGGAAAGATAAAAGCTGAGAAAAAATATGTACATAGTTTTATTTGTGCATGAGTCACAAAATTCAAATGTGCTTTGCAATTTTGCGCTCATTCTGTAATTCTGTTTTAGATGTATTTTTATTTATTTCTTATGAGGTATAGTTGGAGGCATAAGTATATAATCATGAACTTGTTCTCAATTTATCCCTCTCCCTGCAAAAACCTCCAAGGAATTCTCAGACTCCTTGCAAATATGGATTTTTTCCAGAAGCCAAACTAAAGTTGGAATTGAAAATGGTGTTTAATCAGTAGTAGACTTAACTATTAAAATACTTCAAGGAAGGAAGGACATTACTCAGCACCAATGAATAATAATAGGAATGAACAAACCTTTGTACTGGCCCTCTTGGAGCCAAATGGGCAAAACTGATAGAGTATAAGATCATGCACATACAGTAGCTGTTCTCTCACACATATAGCATTAAGGGGTGGGGAGCCTTTAAAACCATTAAGTGCAGCCTCTGGCCACCAAAAGTTGCATTAAAGTTACATTTAAAGATATAAAATAAAATTAATGCTAATGGGAAGACATCAGTGACTCAGAGGCATTTGTTTTTTCTTGCTTAATAAATTATAAGAAAGAGCAGCATTGATACTCACCACACTGCTGCCAGCACCTGGCCCATTGGCAAACTGACATTCTTCTGCATGGCCATTACAGAAGCAACTGCCTCGGACAATTAGGTCATAGATGGCATAATGGGCAAATCTGTGTGGTTTCTCCAGCAGTCCTGAGCCCTGGCAAGGACACTCTTGCCTCTTTAATAAGAGGAGCCGCAAATTGGTGAGCTTCAAGACACCTTGTGCTTCAGGACTGTATGGGTCTTCAATCTTGTTAGCAGGAGTTAAAGCACGGAAGATCACCTGAAAATGGAGAGAGAATGGCATGGTTAATATACAGTTAATATGCATGATCAACAGCTTGCATCTGATATAAATCAACCAAGCACATTTCACCTCAGGGCACTGAGTAAAGTCAGCATGACACAAAAACCCAGAAAATTGGGTTACTTCAATAAACAGTTAAAATGCACAGCTTGTGCCAGAGACATCCACCACAAACCCTAACCAAGATGATGAATGAATGAATGAATGAATGATGTAACATATGTCATGACATCACAACACAAAGCCACCCTTTCATATTTGCATTTCATCATGAGGTCTTCCATCATGAAATCACCCTCCACACACCCAAGTATACCTGTGGATTGTGAAAACACAACCAGTGTTTTTATAGCAGTTCAAGGGATATGGCTTCAGAGGATATTCCAGTAAATTCACAAGGGCTTTATAACAGCATGCAAGATAATCAAAGAAGGGTCTCTAGACTGAAGACCACTTGCAGAAGAAATCAGTTTCAGAGTGACAAATATGCTTATATTATTTTGCAGATTCATGAGATCACAATTTGGGTTCCAGCAAAAGTACTGTGAGTTCTCTCACTTGCTCTGTATTTTGCACATCAGCAATTTCTATTTGAGCAGTGAGGCTGAAATGTTTCTATAGACATTGCTACGTTCTCCAGCCGTTTTTGTGGACTTACACGTTTTTTGTAAACAACCTTCCTTCCCAAATATGCTCTGCATCAAAATGCCTCCCTATTTCTTGTTTTACAGAGTGAGGAATAACATTCTGGAAAAATTCTTAGGGTGTGTTACCATGATGTACCAATAGAATCCTGGGAGATGAACCTTGTCAAAGGAACAGAAGTCAGCCGTCTAACTTGAGAGCTGGGGAAGCACCTCTGCCTGACAAAGAAATGATAAGAGAGGCCAACAGTCCATGCCTTTCTTCTGCTGCTCGAAGTTTAGCTTTGCTCCCTTCCCACCTTCTTTCCATTTCTTCAGGGGACACAGATTTGCAGATGGCCTGGGGTTCGAACCAGAGATGTCTCTTGCTCATGGGAGCAACGGGCAGCTTGCCCAGCCTGTGTAAGCAGTGCAGGTGCTTGCCCTTTCCCTGATCAATGAAAGCATGAGAAAACAACCCGGCTCTTTCCGGCCAGCTGTCTGCATTCCCCTCATGAAAGAAACCCTGCGCAAATAGCCCATTCTCTCCAGCACAGGTGCCCAGCATTCCTTCCACCCAGGGAATTAAGGGCCAGTGACCAAGTTTACTCAATGCACATGCCTGCCTTGGTTTGGGTAATGGAAACAAAGACTCACAGACCAGCTTATTCAGTTCAGATCACACCAATTCACTGTTGATAAAAAAGCACTGAAATTAAACATGAATTCAAAACCTCCAAAAGACTTTATTTGTGACTAAGTTTCCTTTTACTGAAGTCCAATATTCTGAGGTCCAAAGATCCTGAGGCCTCTTAGTTGAATGGTGTGTTTGTGCATAACATTTTTTTCCTGTTTTTGTTGTTGCTGAATCGAGAGGTTACATGAATAGCAATATATCTCCTGTACAGAAGACAGTCCCTGATTGGACAGACTTGCTCTGAAGGCATCCTCTGCTGGAGGTAATGTCCAGTTCAAATCAGTCTTAAAAATAAAGAACCTTCTTGAAGGAAATAGAGATGGGAAGAAAGATGGATGGAGTGCTGCACAACAATGGTAGCACCTGGACACCATCTCAGAAATGGATTTTTTCCAAATATTTCTGTTTTATGTCACACTTTTAAGTACAAGGCACAACGTATCTGCCATCAGCAGATAGCTATCTATCATTTGTATATTTGTCCAATCATTGTATACTTGTCTGGCATCAAGCCATCCTGCCTCCATATTATTCAGCCCCCTACATCCAACCAGTCCCATCTCCACCTGGCTTGCCACTTGACTGCTAGTTTCCTTCTTGACAGCAGCCAGAGCAGCAGCACTCTATCCATCTTTCTTCCCATCTTCCTTCACAACCAAATGTCCATTCCTTCCTGGCCTAAATGTGTCTCTCGGAAGGTAATTTACCAAAAAGGAATGGAAGGAACATAAGCACAGAAGGGATGAAGTGGGGCAGGGCAAATTTTTATCCTGATCTACTGACCTTCCTACCATTTCTCATGTGCAACTTGCTTTCCTCATCATAGCCATAGGCATCCAGTATAAACCATGAAGATGCAAAAATGGTGAAGCACGCATTGCCATGTTGCAATGCAAACCTCAGCCTTTCATATTTGCATCTGCACATTTTATCATTCCCCCTTGCCCTCCTACTGACACCTATGTTCACAGTTTAGCAGGAAACACACCTCTAAGAGCTCTGATTGGTGACATTTAGTAGAAGGTTAAGGATACAACAAAAGAGTTCCATCAAGCACTTTACTTTTGAAAGAGACAAATTCTCATTTATTCTCTCTCTCTCTCTCTCCCTCACACACATATGGAAGGCCACCTCTTTTGCTAAGGTGGGGTAGCATGCAGCTGTTGACTGTTTTGTAATTGCTGGTCTTCTTATCAGGCTGAGAATTAACTCTCACATCACTTTTAGCAGCTACTTAATCCTCCCTAATAGCAAAGTTGGCCTTATTCCAATGAGATCTTCCTATCATTCTTAAACAGTTCAGCCTTTTGTATCAAAGTGGGGGTTTATGATTCATTTGTGGTATCTTCCTGAAAGAGAACTGATGCTCATTGAGAGCAAAAACATGCTGAATGTTTCTGGCTGGAAATGAGCAGTGGTCAACTGTAAAAATGGGTTCTGAAAGGAAAGGCAGGAATGTCAGTGACTCATAACAACCAGAGGCAGTTTGGGCAAGTGCCCAGGGGAATACCATTCAAGGCAGGCTAATTTGCTATGATTTGGTTTCTCAGCTTGCTCACTTATAATGTGTCTGACTGCTTTTGGTTCTGTGGTGGTTTCTCTTGTATTTGGACCAGCTAGAATCATCACTTGTTAACTCTCCCTCACCTATCCTTTTTCCTGCCTATTGTATGTGAACATCTGAGTTTCCTCCAGAACAGGTGGGCCAGGTAAAGAGTCCAAACAAGGCAAGTTAAAAGTCTAACCTGAGATGCATCTAGGAGTCCTCCTTTGCAGCTTCAGTTCCATCCTAACTGGAACTTCTATTGGTTGTCTCTCTTCATAATTAATAGAATAAAAGCATCTTCCAGATTACTGTGAACATTCTAGACCTTGCATTAAAAAAGGCCTTCTAAACCATGTCTTTTTGTTATAATCCAGAATAATGCTGGGGGCTTGTATGTTGCTGGAATTTTCATTCTTATCTCCCAAATGCTATTGTTTCCAAACTCTTGGCTGCAATTCATAATAAAATAGAATATTGTTATCTCTGTCCTTGACGTTTAACAAAACTTAGGGAAATTTGGGTGTGCCCTGAAGCTACATAAAAACTGAAGCTGACAACAATCAAGAAGAAAATGTTCTCTCTCTCCCATTTTCTTTCCAGCAGCTAGCATTTTTTCATCTTGTTCTTATTGTTCTTTTATTGGAGGGGTCATCTTTACCTTAGAGACAGTGTCTCTGATTTTTTATTTCCTGCCATCCATGGATCCATGTTGTGATTCTCCAACCTCAATGCCAAGAATTCTGCTCTGTTCTTATAATCTGATATCTCCGTCTGAAGTCAAAAGATGGGGACACAACAAAAGGTCCTCTTGATGGTCCCTGGTTGTCTTCTTTCTGTTGGAAAATATGGGGTTTCAACCAAGCCTGTTTCACGTGAGCACAAAGGGAGGGGCAGCTCCGCTGCTGCCTAGCTTTGCTGCTTTGCGTGGGAGGGGCTTCCCTCATTTCCCCTCTCTTGTCCTCATGGCTCTCCCCGAGGTAGGAACGATTCATCTCTCCTCCTCAGGGTTTTTGAATTAACATTTTCACAACCCCAACACTTTCCACATATTAACCAGGACTAGCCCTGCTTAGGTTCTGAGCCAGACAAAGTGCTACCAACTTAGCAACTGCTATTAGCCTAGTTTGCCTAACATAGTTTTCACTGTGCACATAAGAGGAGGGTGGTGTGAGGTTCTAATCATTAGTTCCGCCTATCCAATTTGCACTGAATAGTAAATGGACTTTGTGCCTGTTATATACCCTGTATGAACATAGGTTTTTCTTTATATCAGAAAGCCCACTCCGTATAGTCCATATGTCTCATCATTAGGCCAGCTGAATGTGCATAAGTCAGAGCCTGAAAACAGAAACCATTTCTCCATCTGTTCCCTTAGTGCCCCTAAAAGGCAGAAAAGGAATGGGCACGACTGTGGCATTATCATTAGTCCAGTACATAAATAGATGTATTGTTAGATGGTGAAAGCCAACTTAAATTCTTAAGGGTTAAAAAAAATACATGCTTAAGCAAGCAAACTGTGATGGCCTGTTTATATGATTAATTCCACCAGACCCTAATCTACTATGTTTCAGTAACAGTGTTCCACAAAACTGTTAATAGCACATTTACTGATGTATATTGTATGTTTATTTTTAATGGTAATTTGATTCAAAATGATTCAGAGTGGTCCTCCTTTCACTGTCCTTTAATTATTGAAGAAATACTACATTCAGAAATAAAACAAAAACTAGTAATGAACATAGACAATCAGTCTCCCCAGAACAAGCTATCATTGGCCCAGGTAGGTTTAGACCAATTCATATTTCTCTAACACATTCTTCTAGAAGAGGTACTGGAAATGTTTACTATAACCCTATTTCTACATGAGTTGCTTGAGCACTTCAGAATCACCTCAGGACCTCTGTGTTCTCACACCATTATCTGAGGTCAGCAGCTGTGATGATTTATTTCTAGCTCAACTGCAGTGTTTCTAAAACCTCTCTCTCTCTCTCTCTCTCTCTCTCACACACACACACACACACACACACACAGAGCTGTCTTTCTATTTGCATTCTGAAGCTCTGCAGAGTTGGTGGATGGCTTGTTTTCCCCTGGGCAAGACCTCTGCCTC